CTGCCTGGAACCTGGGCCCCATGCACAGGCCTGCCTGGAGCAGGCCCTTGCTGCTGTACCCTGCCCCCACAAGGATTCTCTCAGGGAAGGGGGCAGAGCCAAGCCTTCCCACTGCTGCTGCAGGTGCTCCTGACACACCCAGCTGGCAGGTGCATCAGGAAGCAGGGTCTCTCCGCAGGGCTCAGTGAGTCACAACTAGGCAACCCAGCAAGGCGTCTGGCTGCGGAGAACTGGACAGACAGCGTGCTGGCCTCAGGAGGTCACCATCAGCAATTCCATGCTGCCACCCTCTCCAGAGCACACTGGCAAGTGCCAGCCTGTGTCTGCAGTTCCACACCCTGACTCCCCTGAAACACGGGCAAGGCCAGTCACTGCACAAGAAATGGGAGGGGAACGAGCCCACTCCGACCCTCTGCACAGGTGCCAGGTGCTCAGACAAGAACACGGCAAGAACACGGTGCCGAGGGTAGTTTGGTATCACAGTGGTCACTTAGTACACACAAGCCCTGGGCTGTCTCCAGGTCCACCACAAAAAAGAAAGGGAACAGCAAGATTTAAGCTACACACCTCCCAGGCCTGATGCTACCTTTTTTTTTTTTTTTGTATCAAGGATTGAACCCAAGGGCACTTGACCACTGTGCACATCACAGCCCTTTATAATTTTTTATTTTGAAGCTGGGTCTTGCTAAGGTGCTTAGCGCTTTGCTAAGTTGCTGAGGCTGGCACTGAATTTTCAATCCCTCAGCCTCAGCCTCCTCAACTGCTGATGCTACCATTTTGTATAGCAAAACAAACCAAATATCACCCCTGAGCAGGGCACTAGGGGTACAGTACTTGCCTAGAAGGTGGGTTCCATCCCTAGCACCGCACACAAACAAAGAACCCCACAGGGGCTGGGGGTGCAGCTCAGGGGTAAAGCACTTGCCTAGCACATGTGAGGCATGGAGTTTGATCTTTAGCACCACATAAAAACAAAGGTATTGTGTCCATCATCTACAACTAAAAAAATATTTCTAGAAAAGAACAAAGAAAACAACACCACCAACATACCAAAAACAAAAATAACCTTATAGACGAAAAAAAAAAAACTAGAGTTGGGGGACTGGTTCAGGGGTAGAGGGCTTGCCTAACACAGAAAAAAAAAAATAGTATAGATAAACTGGGAGAACTATTTGCAACCTATTACAAAAGGACTAGTTTTCTTAATACATAAAGAGCTCCTACAGATCAACAGTAAAGTTCACACAGCACTTACTATTCAGCAGGCACTGTTCCAAGCGCTCGCCATGGGCTGTCACTACCTTCCGACTGCACATCACAACAGACACCATGAGGCTATCTGACCAAGGTCTCAGGTAGGCAGCTGGTGTAGACAAGAGACCCAGAAAAGGCAGCATGGGGTCCACACCACCAACCCCAGTCCCAGCCAGCCTGAGAAGGAAAGGATCAAGAGTGTGCTACAGACCTCTGCAGGGGGATCTCTTCCCAGCATGCACACTCCCAGCTCAGGAAGAGAACCAGGGAGACACCATGTCCAGCTCTACCCAGCCAAGCCAACTGGGAGCCGACTCCAAGCAAGGATGCAGGAGTCAGGCTGCTGAATGATCACTGGTATTGCCTCTCTGGAGGGCAACTTGGCACCAATTACCCAAACTAAAAACACACAAGCCTCTTGCCAGGAATTCTACTTCTAGGAATTCGTCCCACAAGCAGCAAAAGTTCAAGGACAGTAGCCACCACATTTTCATGCACCGGAAGCCCAGAATAGCCATGTATCCATCAGCAGGAGGCTGGTGAAACCAGTCATGGAACATCAGGTCATGGTACCATGGCTGCACAGGCCCGCAGTTAACACCCTGAGCTCACAAAATTGACAGTCCAGGTTAGGACACCTGCCCTTGGACTCAGCCCCATGCCAGGAAGAGCCAGGCTGGAGCCTGCCCATCTGCTGCAGTCTGGCTCCACACCACTGAGGGTACAGGTGGTCACTCTAGCAAGGCCAAGGCACCATTCTTCTGATATGGACTAAGAACAGTGTGCATAATAAGTCACAGAGACTTCCTCCCATCTCCAATACAGATGTTAAAATTAAAAAAAAAAAAAAAAAAAAAACAGTGAGGGGTAGGGTCATTTGTGCTGTAGAAGAATCACATCTACTTATAGAGGCCCAGAAATAACCATGCGCTCAGAGCAGACAGTGGAAATTCATCTGGACAGAGTTGGGAGAATGATCTCTCACCACGTTTTCATTCATAGTGTTTTAGGACTTTAAAAGCCAAATCATTACTTTTTTCCTCCTTGCAGTACAGGGGATTGAACCCAGGGACACTTTACCACTAAGCTACATCCCAATCTTTTTTGACACAGGGCCTTGCAAAGTTGCCAAATTGGACTTGAACTTGGGATTTCAGGCCTGTGCTACCACAGGTCAGTTACTACCTATTTTTAAAAGCTAGGGGTATGGCTCAGTGGTAGAGGGCTTGCCTAACATGCAAGAGGCCCTATGTCCAATCCAGGTCAGGAAAAAAAAAAAAAAAAAGATTTGTAAAATCAAGATGATTTCTCCTGGTCCTGGTGTCTGTTTCAAACATCTTATGGATGCAGGGGACAGCCTGTACTGTGAGGCCAGAGAGGGTGGAGTCCCAGCACAGGAAAGGCTACGGCTGGCATTTTTCAGCACTTCCTCCGGGCAGAGGAAGCCACAGTATTGCCAACCCTGGAGGAAGTGGCATATGCTCACAATCAGGTGTGTGTGGCCCAAGTGGAACAGAACAAGGACCAGGGCAGGGTTGGAGGATACCACCAGCCATGGGCACTCCAGAGGTTATAGATGGTCACCTGCAGCCCAATCCACGTCTGCCCAGTCCCAATGGGACTGGAAACACCCAGGCACAGGAACGCGGGGGCCTGGCAGGGAGCAGAGTTGTGTGGGCCAGAGGGATCTGTTCTTTTTTGGGACTGGCCATCGACTCTACCATGGGTCTTTCACAAATGCATGAGTTGAAGAGTACCCTGGCAGTGTGGCCCTGAGGACAGGCTGAAGAACATGACCAGAGGAGAGATGGAGAAAGGGAGACAACGAAGAAAAAGGGGCTGGACTGGGGAAAGAAGAAATAAAGGAAAACAAGGGGGGGGGGAGCCTCCTGGACCAAGAACACAGTGTCTCCTTTGGCTTTCCAGGTACTCCTGGCACCCTGGACCTGGGCCCTGCCCACATGTCACAATGTGTCACAGCCCCCAAGGCCACAGCAAAGCTGACAGTGGGAGGGAGGAGGAGGGAGGAGGCCACCAAAACATCACCGCCTCCTGGGAACTTCCCTCAGTCAGGGCTGGTCCCTGGCCTCAGTAAACAGGTTTTAAAGTCATTAGTCAGCACTTCGCCTGGCAGACCCACACCTAGGTCCTGGATCCCAAGCCAGGTATCCAGGAACCCCAAACCATGCAACCATGGGGCACAGGGTCCTGGGGGACAGCATAGGAAACTGGCTAGTCAGCAGGGGGCCAGCTAGGCCTGACTTGGCCTCTGGCTTCTCTAGTCCAGCAGGCTCAGCCCCAACTGCCAGCAAGAAGGAATCTCCTGCAGCCCCTCCCCCTCTGGGCCTCTGACGCAGGGAGAGACCAGCCAATGGGAGGCCACCGGACAATGTCAACAAACACCCAGCCAGCCAGACAGGTGGGCCTGCCTGGGTCACCAGACTCAGATAGGGCCACTGGGTCAGACCAGAGGGGCAACAGTGGGAGGAGTGATCCCCATGGTCAGGACACCCCAGCCCTGGTGGTCTCCTCAGGCAGCCAGACTAGCTAGAGGTTCTCCACTCAAAGGAAGCTAGGCCCAACTGGGCAAGAGATGGGGTCTCCAGGGTCAGATGAAGCCTCAGAGCTGTGCAGACCAGACACCCTATCTCCAATTCAATGCCCAGCTCCCTCCACCCACTCTAGGATGCTGTCCTGGACCATCCACTACCCACCAGACCTCCAGCACTGGGCAGCCCAGGGCCTGGGAGGGTAGCATCACCCCTTCCCCCACCCCCACATGGGCCAGAGGCCTTACCTGGAAGTCATACAAGGCCACAATGTTCTCGTGCTTCAGTTCCTAGGACGGAAATCCAAGTTTCTCAGGAGTGGGCGATAGCCAGCCCACCCTCCTCCTTCTTCAAGGCTCTAGCTCACCTTGAGTATTTTTATTTCCTTCCCCAGCAGTGTCTGGGACTTGGCCAGATTCTTCTTGTTAATGCACTTGACTGCGACCTCCAGATCGTGCTTCTGAAAACCAAGCAGGGACTTTCATAGCTACAGCCACCCTGAGGGTTGCCCCCAGGCTAGGGACACAAAGATGCCCCAGGGTGACTAGCATGAGATCGCAGAGTAGGGGGTCTCTGAGGAAGCCTGAGTAGGGCTCTTGGCTGGGAACTCGGATACCAGGTAGAGTTCCCAGCCTGGCTTTCTGGAGGTGGGGATCCCAACTGGGTTTAAGGCTGCGATCCCGGGTCTCCAGGGCCGGGGTCCCAGACTGCGGTCCTGGGTAGGCTTCTAGAGCTGGGGTCCGGCACTGGGTTCCGAGTGGGTTTCCC